ATTTGATTCGCTTACCCATGGTGAACAGACAGCCTCATCAATATTCCGAATTATGTGTGCTTAAAGGCTCCTCTGGTGCGCAATATTACAGACTGCTTTGTTCTATGTACTTTTATTTATTGATTGATTTATTTATATATTTATTTATTTATTACATACTGTGTTTTCAAGGGTTTAATTAGCTTTGTTAACTAATTTCTCATTTCTAATACTCTTGTGCAAATTGTTTGACTATGTTATCTACAATTCTCTTAGTGTTATATATTTTTTGAGTATGTGATTCACTTGACTGATTAATTTCTAGTTTGTTAGCAATTTGTATGGGGGAACTGCTTATTCATTTAAAACTTTAGTGTTTTTTTTTTTATTTATTTTTTATTCCCTTTGTTAATTACTTGAGAGAAATGCTTTGTTTTGTAATTTAAAACTTTACACCTTTTTAGTGTTATTTAACTGTTTGTTTGTTTGTTTATGGATGAACAATTCCCTTGATTGATTAATGCCTAATTTGTAAGCATTTGAGGGAAATGATTCGCTTTGTCATTTAAAAGTTTGCTTGTTTGTTAATTGATTGATAATTGATTATTGGTGGTTGACTGATTGATTCACTTGGTTGACTAATTCCTCAGTGCTTCATGTAGGGGAATTGTTTTGCTTTGTCATTTTTTAAAAGTTAGTTTGTTTGTTTAATCATCCATCACAAGGAGTAAATCCAAAGAATATAGTTCCAATGTGCAGAACAAAATTGTTGAGCTTCACAAAATAGAAAGTGGCTGTAAGAAAAGAGCTAAAGCACAAAAAAAAAAAATCCCCATTTCCACGATCAGGGCAATAATTAAGAGGTTCCAATCAACTAAAGATGTTACAAATCTGCCTGGAAGTAGGATGTGTGTCTATATCGTCCTAATGCACGGTGAGCAGGAGAGTTTGAGTGGCCAAAGACTCTCCAAGGACCACAGCTGGAGAATTGCAGAGATTAGTTGAGTCTTGGGGTCAGAAAACCTTAAAAAAAAACATTTTTAAAAAATCAAACAGCCCCTACATCACCACATGTTGTTCGGGAGCGCTCATCCAAAAACAAACTCCAGCATATTCAGTTGTCAGACACGACTGGAACTTCAAATGGCACTGGCTTCTATGGTCAGATGAAACTAAAAAAAAGAGCTTTTTGGCAGCAAACCCACCAGATGGGTTTAGTACAAACAGGGATAAAAAGTACCCCATGCCCATGGTTAAATATACTGCTGGATTTTTAATGTTGTGGGCCTGTTTTTCTGCAGGAGGTCCTGGACATCTTGTTCAGATACATGGCATCATGGATTCTACCAAATACCAACAGATAACAAGTTCTCTGACCTGAACCCTATAGCAATTAGTGGGGTGAACTAAAAAGAAGCACCAACATGGAGCTGTGAATCTGAAGGGTCTGGAAAGATTCTGGATGAAGGAATGGTCTCTGATCTCTTGTCAGGTGTTCTCCAAACTCTTCAGGAATTATAGGAGAAAACTCAAGAGCTGTTATCTTGGGAAAAGGATGCTGTAATAATCAGTGTTGGGGAAAGTTACTTTTAAAAGTAATCCGTTACAATATTGCGCTACTTCCTCAAAAAGTAACTAATTACGTTACTTAGTTACTTTTTATGGAAAGTAATGCGTTACGTTACTTTTGCGTTACTTTTTAAATCTGGGCTGGGCTTGCTTGTTTGCTTTTAATATAAAAAGTTATATTTTTGGCAAATATAAAAGCCCTTTCACACCAAAAGCCTCAGGCTAAAGGAAATGCAAATTCACGTCTGTACGCAGTAGAACGCAGAAGAAAGTTCAACACTCTTCAGCAATAAAAAAATGTTAGTTTATCTTGTGTAATTTTTGCTTATTAGTATGGTTGAATTGGATCACTGAAGGTCAGCAGCAAATAAATGGGATTAAATACATAAAGGATATTTGTATTATTTAACATTTAATTATTGCAGCTTTGAGTCATATTCTGAGTTGCTTTTAACTGTTTTTATTAATTTTGAAGAAAACTAAATCTGATTTTTTTTTTGTGAGTGAGTGAGATGAATTAATGCATGTTCACATTTATTCTAGAACTAAAGTAACACTTACTCCCGATTTCTCGCAACAAGGGGACAGGAGAGCTTTCAATCAATAAATGGGGAAAAAAAGTAACTGGCGTTACTTATTTGAAAAAGTAACTCAGATATTTTCTTGTAAATTAAAAAGTAATGCGTTACGTTACTAGTTACTTGAAAAAAAGTAATCTGATTACGTAACTCGCGTTACTTGTAATGCGTTACCCCCAACACTGGTAATAATTGGGTGCCAATATTGTGGCCAACATGAACTAGAGAAAGCATTTATTTCACAATGAGATTTTCCCCCCACTTTTAATTGTTTTACTTCAATTATAGGTTAGAATTTTCTGAATTATTTTAATGAAAGATCAAAAGGATAAACAATGCAGATTTATTTTCAGTCGTCTTTGCTCATATAATTGTACGTTGCTTTAAAACATACGTATAACCATTAAGCTACAAACTGCAAGAAAAGTCCTGCAAATTCTTGGGAAGGTAAGTTTTTTTTTTTAATTCCCCAAATAACAAATAGGGAACCATATGGAAACACTCTGTTTGCTGGGATTGTATGTTGTCACGCTTCGGCTCAGTGTTGCCAACTGCTTTCAATTGAAAGTAGCTAAAACTGGTAGCTAAATGTCACTAGATGACATCACAATGGCAAATTCACTGATCTATATAAAGATGAACGTAGATCAGTGGGCAAGATGAGAACTTAGATAAGGTTTGTCCAAGCAGTTGCTATATTTGTCCCTAAACTTTTGAAAAAAGTCTCAAAAGGGGCAGGGAAGTCGCTAAATCTAGCTACAAAGTAGCTAAATTGGCAACACTGCTTCGGCTACTGCTACTGTGTTGGAACCAGGAATCGAGGAGCTGTCGGAGTACTTAAACCTAGAACCAGCTTTATTCATCCAAATAAAGAGACATAAAGGCACACGTAGCAGGGGGAACAGACATTTAACAGCAGACCAAGAAATGTTGGGAAACACAGGGTTTAAATGGACAGAAACTAATGGGACACACCTGGGAACAATACGAACTAATTAATGAAACACAACCGGAGACGAATTCACATGACGAGGACAGGAACAGGAAGACCAAACAGGGACATGGAAACAAACATGTGACATATGTTGTTGGAAAACAAAAAAGCTGAAATTTTCATTAATGTAATGTTGATTTTCTGTAAATCTTTTATCCATAAATGTAAGTGTATGAAGACAACAAACACTAAAGAGATTTTGTAGTTATTTCTGTCATTGAAATATATATAGACTAAACAGGACTGCCAATTTTCTAAGATGATTAGAGACTTTGGCTTATTGAAAGATGAAAGAATAGATCCCTGTTTGTACCCTTTTCCCCTAAATGTATTGGTGTGCTTGATTTACTGTTTATTTGCACTTACTGAATGGCAGTATAAATGTATACTGTGTTTATTATGTACCAAAAAAAAAAGTCTTATTACCCATTTTGAGAGGTTACCCACTTTTTGTGTCTCTCTCATTTAAAGATATAACATATGGTATGAATTAAGATGAATGTTAATGCTTTTTCAGAATAATATTATGACAAAACATTTCATTTATAAATATTAGGTTTCTCAAACCAATTCACCAAGTGTATAATGTTTAGAAATTATGTTGTATGAGCACACACAGTAACTTTGAGATGTTTATTGTACTTGATTATATGATGAGCAGTACATGTCTATGGCAACTAAGGTCCTTCATTTTAACAGTATAACATACAATGTTTACGAAAACAAATTCCTCCTCGTATGTGTAAACATACCTGGCAATAAAGCTCATTCTTCTGTTTAATGGAAAAGAATATATTTGCTATAGAGCTATGTAACGCTGGAATATCCTTAAAGCATATTGCATCACTACAGTTCATCATTTGAAGGTCACTTTTGTAGCTCTAATTGAGAAAACACTCTGTCTAATCAATTAAATAGATCTCCACACTACTATTAGTGACCTGTATTCCATGTTGGCCTTTCTGAAATTTTGTATCCTTCCCACCGTGAGTGAAACGGATAAACCGAACTCCAGGTCCATAATTCCTAAAGACGTGGAACATCTGAAAAATACCAGAACAAACACAGGGACAGTTAAGCTTTGACAATTACAGGGGAATAATTGGACTGTCAGTATTATTCTACACACTTGACGCCATGGATAAATTGTCCCCTTTTGAAAGAAAACTTTCTCAGGCTGAAAGGTACTGATGGGTTTCCTCTTCTCATCAAGCAACTCCACACAGATCTGATACTCACTTCCACAATCAGAGAGTGTGGTATACCTGCAAATGAGACATCAAATAAATGTGGTTCTGTTCAAAAATTGTGTTTTCTAATTAGAATTTTATTTAACACGGGTACTGTCTTCTTAATGAGCTAGATCACCTAAAAATGACAATTCTGTCATCTTTTACTCTCACTCATGTCAGTCCAAACCTGTCACTTTCTTTTTTCGGTGGAATACAAAAGGAGGTGTTTTAAAAGCCTAAATAACATGGGTCCACGTTGACTTTTATTGTATGAATAAAAAACACTAAGACATTTTTTAAATCTTCTTTTGTGCTCCACAGAAGAATGAAAGTCATACAGGTTTGGAATGATATGAGGATGAGTAAATGATGACATTTAAACTCACTTTCTGTACTGTGTGTGTGTGTGTGTGTGTGTGTGTGTGTGTGTGTGTTATTTATTTATTTTGATATTTTTGCTTCTATTGTGTAGGACAGTAGAGCCTGGACCCGATCTTGGGTTGCTCGAAGCTCAAACGCGCCATTTGTGTCAGAGCTAATGCAGATTCTACCATTAAAATGACAAAATAATATGCCAAAAAACATAAAACATTGAAATATGAATGACATATCACTTTAGGTTCTCATACTACCAACCACAATTTCAGCATAAGGCACATATGGACAGGTGACTCACATAATATCACATGAAATATGAAATCCACCACCTAAGATACTGTAGCATGAAACGGGAGTTTGAGTGAATTCTCACCAGTCTGATATTTTGATATGAGGTTGCTGCTGATCCATTAAAGCATCACTGTAGCCTTCTTTCTTCAAATCAATCAGCTGCTCCTTCAAACACAGACTGAGGACAAAGTTTGATTCATGTGTAAATTGGCTTGATGCTTGATTTATTTTCATATGCAACATCGACTGAAATTTAATGAGCTCAAAACTTTCTTGAAGGATCTAAAACATCAAACATACCCACAAGACGTCACAAAACATTTGGTGACCGGAAATGTTGTCTTATTTCCTTCAGTCGCCCAGCGGTCACCTCCATTTGCTACAATCTCCCATCCTTTAAGTCCCTCTAATAAGAACACCAGAAAAGAGATGTTACCTAACACAAAATGTCATTATAGTGACACTTATTGTACAATCTTTATTATATGAATCACCTCGTGCGATGGGATTCTTGAGCAAGTTACGATTTGTGAGACTGAAACTAAGAGGGGAAACACAGAAGTTAAGTGTCACATTCATCTGACGATATTACAGTAAACAAAAAAACCCCCAACAAATAATAGTAGCTAATTTCGCACTACTTAAATGTCAGATATTGCTCTTCTAACCAGTGATAACAACTCTTAATTTGGCAGCTCCCTAATCTGCTTCTGGAAAACTGAAAATATGTCTTGACTCTGGAGGCCGTTCAAAATCCTGCTGTGCTACGCACATAGTTTTCCATTAAATGACATATGTCCCAAATTGTTTATGTACATAACTTCACCCTAGGCTGGAAGATTGTGTATTGTTGCTCTTTAAGCAAAATATTTGTCTTCCTGTGGCTTGAATGAAGCATATATCCTTTATTTATAAAGCTATGATAATATAGATTGAACTTTCTCTTTCTATTTGCTCTGTTTTTTTCAAACACTTTGTTCATCCATGAAGTGAACTTTTGCATGTTCGGTGACTAGATTAACTGTTTTGGACTACTGTGTTACGGGAAGTGTACTATTGGTACCAACAACTAGACAACTAGTCTCATTACCCATTTTGAGAAGATAGTTTATACATTTGATAAAGTGTATGATATCTCTCACTGTCATTTGAAGATATTAAATATGGTATGAGGAAAGATTAATTTTAATGTATTTTCTGAATAACTGAATTTCATCAAAACATAATACATTCATAAATGTATGTTTCTCAGATCACATCACACTTCACAGTGTTTAGAAATTCATTAAAATTATTTTCATAAGCTCTGGTCAGGGTAAAACAAAATAGTGGTTTGATTTGTTTGTAAAATACACATTTCTTTAAAATTAAAGATAAACCTCACTCTCTGGCCTCAAGAGGCACATTAAAGGGGTCATGAACTGCCTTTTTTATTATGTTGTACCGTTCTCTGAGGTCCACTTATAATGTTATCAAGATTTTTGACATAATAATTTAGAAGTAATAGGCTATTTTCTGTCCCGTTTTGACTCACCTCATCTAAACGCTCTGTTTGAATAGGCGTGGTGGGTTGTAGACTCTGAAGTAAACGCCCACTGCTATGATTGGCTAACAGTTGTGTATGTTTGACAGCTTACATTCTTCATAGATGAATGCTGCTGTAATATAAGCTAAAATGCATAAATATTCAGTACATATCAAACGATCTGTAATAACAGACAAAGCAATAGTGACCACGTAATAAAAATAGTTACTCATGCTCATGAGGTGCGACATTATTTTTGGATCCAATATAGTCGGCACATCATTGTCTTTTAGGTTCAATCTTTCTGAAGATCCTGCATCGAATTGTGCTTTGTTAGTAAACAAATCTGCGGTAAAATTAAGTGAACAAAGGACCAGGTTCTTACTGATGTGGTCTGGAACTTCGTTAAAAATAAAGTTCATCCACTTTTTCCTAATGTTTGGATTAGAAGGAAGACTGTGCTTTTCAACAACTTGGCACTGCACAGCGTCTTGTTGTTTTCTGAGCCATCTTTATCGTGTGGTTTCTGCATAGACCTGCATTCACCTCTCTCGCTACATGTGTGAAACAGTGAGAGGGTTTAGCCACACTATTATTTCATAAAGTGTCACATTCCAGAACCTGTCGTTTTGGTAGACTGGCTTCAGTATAAGCTGTTTTTAGACTAAAGGGAAAGTTTTGAGTTCTAAACCGTGCAAAAACAACAGGATGTTGTTCAAGTTTAATGACCTCTTATATGTCAAAAGATCAAGGGAATTTTGATTTCTCAGGTCTTGTCCCATTTAAAAGCTGATGCTAGAGGCTGTGGTCTTTACTGTCCTCGTTAACACACCCAATCAAGTGTGTTGACTTGAAAGCACTTTATTTTAATGTTTTGTTTCATTACATGTTTCTTGTATCTGCATTGAAAACACTACCTCTCATCAGCTGGATAGATCACCACATTACTGTTAGTGACCCGTATTCCATAATGACCCGCCCAGTACTGTGTATCGTTTCCACCATGAGTGAAACGGATAAAACGAACCCCAGGTCCATAATTCTTAAAGACGTGGCTCGTCTGAAATAAAGCAGAACAAACACAGGGACAGTTAAGCGTTTACTATTATTTTAATTACAGGGGAATAATTGGATGGTCAGTATTATTCTACTCACTTCACACCACGGCTGACTGTTCCTAAATGAAAATATAACTTTCTCAGGCTGAAAGGTTTTGATGGGGTTTTTCTTCTGATCAAGCAACTGTACACAGATCTGATACTCACTTCCACAGTCAAAGCATGGGGCATACCTGCACCAGACAAACATCAAATAAAAGTGTTCCTATGAACAAACTGGGCTTTCATCTTAGAACCTGATTTTGTGTTGGATCTGTCAATACTAGCAACCACAATTCCAGCATAAGGCACATGTGACCCAGATGGACAGGTCATTCACAAAAATGTATCACATAAAATATAAAATCCACCATCCAAGATACTGTAGCATGAAATGAAAGTTTGAGTGAATGCTCACCAGTCTGATATTTTGATATGAGGTTGCACTTGATCCATGAAAGTATCACTGTAGCCTTCTTTGTTTAAATCAATCAGCTGTTGCTTCAAACATAGCCTGAGGACAACGTTTATGGGTGATTCACGTGTGGATTTGGCTTGGCAGTTGACTTATTTTCATATTTTAACTGAATGAAATGAAATGGGCTCAAAAATTTCTTGAAGGATCTAAAATATCAAACATACCCATAAGATGTTGCAAAAGATCTGGTGACCGAGTCTGGAATTGGTTTCCTATTTTCTCCTATCACCCAGCAGTCACCTCCACTACATACAATCTTCCATCCTCGAAGTCCATCTAATGACAAGATCAGAAAAGAGCCATTACCTGACACAAAATGTCATTATAGTGACACTTATTGTACAATCTTTATTATATAAATCACCTTGTGCGCTGGGATTCTTGAGCAAGTTAGATTTTGTGCATTGCAACCTACAATTGGAAACAAAGAACTTACGTCTCATATTCTGACGATATTACAGTAAACCAACCAAAACACAAATAATAGTAGGTACTTTTGCATTAGTTACATGTCAAACATTGCTCTTCTGACCAGCGATAACAACTCTTAATGTGGCAGCACCCTAATCTGCTTCTTGTGGGGGAGCATCTTTATGGCAGACTACTATTATTTTTTGTTTCTCTCATTTGATGAGAGAAATACTGTTATGAATAAGATGAATGTTAACGAACCTTCTGAATAATATTATTATTATTATTTGGACAAAAACATTTCATTCGTACATGTAGATTTCTCAGATCACATCACACTTTGTAATATTTAGAAATTCATTAAAATGACTGTCATAAGCTCAGAGCAAAACAAAATTAAATAGTGGTTTGATTTGTTTGTAAAGTATCATTTGCAGGAGAATTATTGTAGATGTGTATTTATTTACATATTTTTATTTTCAAAAAGGTGCATCACCTTTATTATGCTTAAACGGTCAAATTCAAACAATAATTGTCATAATGCCTTTCTTGGCAAATATTCACGTAAACACAATCAGTTATGTCTTAAGTGAATGTAAGCAGTTGGGAGAAAATCACATGTGTGTCAGTATATTGGATTCATTCATTAGGTCTTAAAGGGATAGTTCACCCAAAAATGAAAATTTGATGTTTATCTGCTTTCCCCCAGGGCATCCAAGATGTAAGTGACTTTGTTTCTTCAGTAGAACACAAACAAAGAATTTTAACTCAAACCGTTGCAGTCTGTCAGTCATATAATGGAAGTGAATGGGAATCACGGCTTTGAGAGTCAAAAAAACATACACAAACAAAACCAAATTAAACCCTGTGGCTCGTGACGATACATTGATGTGTAAAGACACGAAACGATCGGTCTGTGCAAGAAACTGAACAGTATTTATATCGTTTTTTACCTCTGATTCACCGCAACGTCCGAACTGTCCTGAACGCGTTCGCGTCTTCTTCTTCAGCCGGCGCGTGACGCGTCTTCTTCTTCTTCTTACTTTACGGCAGATCGCAGACTTGTAAGTGCATTACCGCCACCTATCTCTCAAATGGACCATTGACATCTCTATCTACAATCTCAATTAGGAGTTATATAAAACTTATAAGTCTGCGATCTGCCGTAAAGCAAGAAGAAGAAGAAGACGCGTCACGCGCCGGCTGAAGAAGAAGAC